ATAAATTCTTCATTACCTACCTAACTTTCTATACTTATTATTAACTAGGCTCTTCCCCCTGAGGAGGAGAATGCATTGAAGCAGGCTGTTCAGGAAATGCTAGGTTCTGGGGCAAAGGTTAAGCTTGAACAGAAGGTATTAGTGTGACATAATTTCTTCCATTTTCCCCTTATATACATACATACATGCCTCACTATCATTATAGATGCAAGACTTTTGTATGCTGATATATTCTCGCTCCTCTTCTAAGTTGAAGCTTTACACTTGGGTTTTGAATTTTTTAGATTGATCCAAGCATACTTGGTGGTCTAGTGCTGGAGTTCAGCCAAAAAGTCTTTGACATGTCGATAAAGAGTAGGGCACAACAGATGGAGAGGATCCTCCGGGAACCGGCAAACTATTCCATTTAGAAGACAACAATTTTCTCCTGACGGTCTGCATCCTCATCGTTTGATGAAAGAAATGTTACATTATTGATTAATATAAAATTGTTTGAATATGGATTTATTTGGGATGGAATATGCCATCATTTTGCAAATAAAAAGCCACATTTTCCAAGTTTTTGTTATATACTTAGTTGCTGTTTCTTGTGCTCGGATATATTTTTATTTTGGCCTGTTGAGGTTTTAATTGGCTTCTGTTTCCATTTAAATTGAGCAAATATGGATTGCCCGATGCTTTGTTGTCAAAATAGTTCATGAATCATGTTGTGTTTTTTTTGAAGCTATGACTTCATGTCTGATGATTTGATGAAAATCTGTGAGAATGATATATCTTCATTTCTCATTGTATCTATTTTCACTATTTCTACAGCTCATGTAGTTTGGGAATATAGATGAGTGATATTGTTTGAGGTCTAATTATTGTTTCTAGATTTAAAATCACCGTTGAAATGATCCCCGCCCACATACCTATCACTACATAGTCAAGTTCAATTAATGGGCATTACTTCTCCGACCCTTATTAGTGGAGAAAAAGCATCTTATAGAAATTGAATGGTCAACCTTTAAGGCCTGTGAAAATATTGATAGGTTCTGGAAGCAAATTAAGCTTGTCACACATTGAAACATTTAAAAAAGGTAAGGTTAGGAGCACAGTTGTCAAAAGCGGCTATAGCGGCGCTCTGTAGCGGAGCGGTGGCCTCCCGCACGCTAACATGGGGGTGGTAGCGGAGATAGGATAGCGGCCGTTTTTCATGACATAGCGGATCGCCCGTCGTGGGTTTTTCTCGGGCGGAGCGGATCTGCAGTTTTTCTTTTTTTTTTATAACAAAATTACTGTTTTGCCCTTATTATTTTATAAAATAATATGTAAAATAGTTTGTTATAACTCACGTTTCTTTCTTTCTGCCGTTCGTTTCTTTTTCTTCTCCTTGCCCTACCGTTCCGCTTCTCCTTTCTCTTTGCCCTACCGTTCCTCTCTCTGCCGTCTCCTACTGTTTCCAGCTTTTCTCTGTCGTCTCTTCTCCTTTCTCCTTGCCTGTTTCCAGCTTTTCTCTTCGCCGTTTCTCGTCGCCGTCTCTCTTCACCGTTTCCGTTTCACCTTTCCAGCAAACGCTCTTCTTCTTCTACTTAGCCAATCAGCAAGTTACAACTCTGATTCAGCAATGTACACTTCTTCTATTTACATGTGATACACTTTCCAGTTTCACCGTTTCTAGTTTTTTTTTCTAAGCCAGCAAGGTGCAATTGGAAAGGGGGTAGAGTTAATATACTCCAACCCCACTGTGCTGACTCAGCACAACAATGACACATGTCCTTTCTATACTTATGCCATGTGTAAATGTACCCTTTCTTTACTTATGCCATAATCCATATACTCTAATACTTCTTCACCTTTCCAGCAAGCCAGCAACGTATTGTTTCTACTTTTTTTTCTATCTATTCTAGTCCTTACTTTTTTTGTTTCTGTTCTAGAAAAATATGGCAGCTTCTTCGTCGACACCGTCAGTAGCTTCATGTGCTCCAACATTCAAACCAACCAATAGTAAGGACATAGGATGGAAATACAATCATTTGAAGAATTTGAATGATAGGAAGAAGGTGACATGTGATTTTTGCAATTTAACCAACGGTGGGGGAATAAGTAGAGCCAAAAGGCATCAATTAGGAATTACCGGTGATGTAATTTCTTGCACGAAAACACCCGACGATGTTAAGGCTATATTACGTGCTGACATGGTTGATAAAGAGAGAATTAAGAAAGGAATACAAGAGATTTCAGTGCAATTGGATGCGGATGATACAATTGATATTGAGGAAATACGTAGAATTCGAACCGGAAAGAGGATTACGGAGAGTGAGAGCTCTTCAATTGCTTTCAAGAAGACTAAAGGACCGTTGGATTTGGTGTATAAGAAGAGTAAGGACACAAGCATCAACGATGCGTGTGATAAAGAAGCGAGGGCAAGAACCATTCAATATATTGGTCGCTTTTTTTATACGTGTGGGGTTGTTTTTAACGTAGCACATGCAAGAGCTTTTAAGTTGATGTTGGAAGCCGTTGGAAGTTATGGTCCTCATTTGAAACCGCCAAGTTATCATGAACTCAGGGTTCCAATCCTTCAGAAATAATTGGAATATACAAAAGATTTGTTGAAAAACCAAGAGGTGCAAAGGAATAGATATGGATGTTCAATTATGTCGGATGGTTGGACAGATAGAAAAGGTAGAACATTGATTAATTTCTTGGTCAATTGTCCGGCGGGGACCATGTTTGTGAGAAGTGTTGATGCATCAGACTATGTCAAGACGGGGGAAAAGCTAGCCGAATTGTTGGACACTTTTATTGAGGAAATGGGTGAAAAAAATGTTGTTCAATTGATTACCGACAATGGAAGTAATTATGTAGCGGCGGATAAAATATTGTGTTTGAAGAGGCCTCACATGTTTTGGACTCCATGTGCTGCCCATTGTATAGACCTTATGTTAGAAGACATAGGCAAAATTCCAAAGGTTAAAAAGGTTATACAAAAAGGGGTTAAGGTTGTGGGCTACATTTATAACCATACTTTTGCTTTAAATCTAATGAGAAAGACTACCGGCAATGTTGAATTGGTTAGACAAGGAGTGACAAGGTTTGCTATCCATTTCCTTTGTCTACAAAGGATGCAAGAACTAAAAGGCAAGCTTAGAGAGATGTTTCTTTGTGAAGAATGGACGACTTCCAAGTGTGCCAAAGATGCCAAAGGACAAAGGGCAGCCACTATTATACTTACGGCTTCATTTTGGAATGATGTTCTCTACACTCTTAAGTGCATGGCGCCTCTTGTAGATGTGCTAAGAATGGTTGATAATGAAAAGAAACCCGCAATGGGATACATATATGCCGCAATGGGAGTAGCGAAAGAATCAATTGAGAAAGTTTTTAGTTCAAATTCAAGCAAGTACAAAGCTGTATTTGAAATCGTTGATAAAAGATGGGAGTGTCAACTTCATCATCCGCTACATTCTGCAGGTCACTATCTCAATCCAGAATATTATTATTCTAAACCAGAAATTGAGAAAAATGGTAGATTGGTGAGAGGCCTCCGTAAGTGCATTGAGACACTTAGTGAAAGTTATGAAGTGTAAGATTTGATTTCAGAATAATTGTCATAATACATGGGTGTTACGGGTCTCTTTGGTATAAAAGTGGCAATTAGACAAAGGTCGACATTAGCTCCAAGTAAGATGAAATAATTTTTTGCTAAATTACATGTGATACACTTTGTGTTATATATATGGAATGAGTTTTTACAATTACTTGCAGCCGAGTGGTGGAAGTCTTATGGAGCCGAAACTCCGGAGTTGCAATTATTGGCTGTTAAAGTGTTGAGTTTGAGTTGCAGTGCTTCCGGATGTGAGCGTAATTGGAGCATCTTTGAGCATGTGAGTATTAATTTTTTTACTAGGATTTTAAAGTATCTTACATGCAAGTATTATTAAATTAATACTTCAAATTATTGTATTTTAGATTCATTCTAAGAGAAATAAATTGGAACATCAAAGATTGCAAGACTTGATCAAGTATAATCAAGCTTTGCTAGAGAGGTTTGAAATTCGGGATAAAATTGATCCTATAGAATTTAATGAAATTAATTTGCACACCGAATGGTTGGTGGGAGAGATGGAAAAGGTAGGAGATGATGGTGAAGACTTGGTTCATCCAAATGATGATTTAACTTGGAGTCAAGTTGCCGATGCTAGTGGGGCTAATGAGCCTATAATCTACACTAGGAGGACAACAAGGCAAAATGAAGTTGAAAGTACTTCTCAAGCAACTACGGCACCAAGAGCAACAATTGCACCAAGAGCAACAATAACAACTAGAGCACCAATGGAACAACAAGTGATGGAAGATGTTGAAGAAGTTGAAGATGAAGAATTGGAGGAAGATTTTGAAGAAGTTGAAGATGAAGATGAAGAAATAGAGGAATATATTGAAGAAGAAGATGAAGAGGAAGAGGAATTTTTTGATGATGCTATATGATTTCTATGTTTGACATTTGAACCTTTATGTTTGAATCTTTATGTTTTGAGTCTTGATTAAGCATTGTTCTTTGTTTGACATTTGAACCTTTATGTTTTGAATCTTTATGTTTTGAGTCTTGATTAAGCATTGTTCTTTGTTTGACATTAGATTTTATAAGTATTTTATGAGTGTTGTGGAATTAATTTAGTATTGCATGACATATGTTTTATAACATATGTTTTATAGATTATTATATAATTATTAGTATACAAAAAGTTGTCCCGCTATCCGGAATCCCGCTATTCCCGCTTTTCCCATTCCCGGGGGTCGGCTGCTCCGCTCCGCTATCCGGGATTAACAACTCTGGTTAGGAGTGGAAAATCCATCCATGGAAAATGACTCAAGTTCAGGACAAGAATGTATGCTCAAAGAGTGAAGAAACAACAGACTTTGTGTTGCGTTTTCTGCAATTGAGATGAGTTTCAGACATTTGCAATGCATAATTCCAAGACTTTTGAGCACAGGAAAAGGGCCTAAAGTAAAAGATGTCAACGAATGACAACTATTCTGTCCAATTCCTCAAATGATTTGTAATTGCATAAGGATTCATGAGGAAGGAACTCAAGATTCTCACAATCGCGTAAAGTAAGATCTCTCAGCGTTATTGGTAAACCGTCTCTAGGGAAGGAAGCTGAGGAAGAAATTTCCGAGAGGGTTAAGTCTAGAATGAAGTTGGTGCAGTTAAGCTTCAATGATGAATGTAAGTTTGTTGGTATGTTTTCTGTGAGTTTCAACATTTGATTTGGAAACAATAGAGGACACTACATAATTCAAAAGTTTGTTTTGAAGGTAAGGTTCCTTTGAGTTTAGGACAATCCTTTAGAGATAGATGTGACAGACTTGGAAAATCGGTGGTTGAATCTCCAATCAAGTTCCATTCCTCCCACTCTGGCATATATCCTCGAAGTGCAAAATCTGCAAGGATGGAGATGGTTGAAATGAAGAGGAACTAGAACTACTTCCATAGAATTCAGCACCAACAATCTTCAATGATTTCATACCAGAAAGACTAAGTAATTTTCCAAGTGGTGGAAGTGACCACTGACCACCAACAATGATCACAATCCCTTATGCACAAGTGCACCATATTAGAAAATGAATAATCACCAAACCAATTTGGAAAGCTAGTTCCACCATAGGCTTTTATGGTTAGTTTCTTCAAACTTGTTGGAGGTTATAGCTGTTCAAGTACAAGCCTTTCAATTTGTGTATCTAAAGTAGTACCATAATCCCATTCTAATGATAGCTCGTCGACTTTCTCTTTTCTTTTCAAGTTAGGTTGAAAAGCTTCAAAGGGATCAGTAACATTCTGTAGCTTTGAAATGGAAAGTTTTCCTTGTAGATGAGGAAATGCTTTTAGCTCTCCAACCTTCAAACCGTCTTGCGATTTGCTGACAACAAAGGAAGACAAAGTTTGAAGATTTCTCCAGCACGAAAAATATCCATTAGATTATTCCAATCAAGTACAAGTAAAAATCTTCTATTTCTTAAGCTTTGTTGCAATTCAACCTGCCAAATGTTTAGATTGTTTGTGTCTACAGGCTTAAAAGTGACCCTGCAAACATCAAAATCTTCTATTTCTTAAGATTGTTTGTTGCAATTCAAGAATCACTTTAGTAACCCTGCAAACATCAAAATCTTTTGAAATATAAGCCCAAGCTTTTAGATCAAAATTAGCTTCTACTTGATGATCATTGTAAAGGAGTTTAGCTAGTGTTGTTTTTTCTAACCCTCCCATACCCACAGTATCAAAAACAGCATGTGTGAGTTCATCCAGCCATTGTTTGACAGCAGGATTTGTGATTTGTTTCTCCTCAGCATCATCCAACACAGCTTAAAGACTCAAGAACTCAAGAGTGTTATTCTCTAACTTTACGCGATTGTGAGAATCTCGAGTTCCTTCCTTATGAATCCTTATGCAATTACAAATCATTTGAGGAATTGGATATACACAATAGTTGCCATTCTTTGACATCCTTTACTTTTTTAGGCTCTTTTCCTGTGCTCAAAAGTCTTAGAATTAAGCTTTGCAAACGTCTGAAACTCATCTCAATTGCAGAAAACGCAACACAAAGTCTCTTGTTTCTTCAACATTAGATGTTTCATCTTGTCCTGAACTTGAGTCGTTTTCCAAGAATGGATTTTCTGCTCCTAACCTTACCTGTTTAAATGTTTCAATGTGTCACAGGCTTAATTTGCTTCCAGAACCTATCAATATTTTTATAGGCCTTAAAGGATTGACCATTCAATATCTTCAGAATCTCAAGTCTTTTGCAAAAGAAGGCTAGCCTATCAATTTACGAAGTATAATACTCTTGAGTTCCGGAATCAGTGATTGAAATTTGCAAAGGCTAACTTGTCTTACAAGGTTGTACATTGGAGGTGATAAACTTTTGAGTGCAGTTAAGAAAATGGAAGTGCCATTGCATCCAAATTCAATAGTGTCCTTATGCATATGTGTAATCTTTCTGATGTAAAATGCTTGGACGGAAAGTGGCTTCAGCATCTCACATCTCTTGAAAACCTTGAGATTTCTTCCTGTCGAAAACTTGAATCTTTGCCTAGAGAGGGTCTGCCTTTATCTCTTTCAGTATTGACCATTGAGTGGTGTCTTTTATTGGAGGAAAGTTGCAACAAAAATGGAGGGAAAGAGTGGAATAAGATTGCTCATATTCCATGCTTAATTATTAATAGACAAGTTATCATATGAGTTTATAGGTGAGTCCTTGTTTGGTATGTTTGATTCCTTTTTATGTTGTTTATGTCACACTTAATAAGATATCAACTTAACTTCTTCCTTGGTTAAAGTGATGATTGAACTAAGAATTCTTTTCTTTTTTTGTGTGCGTAAGCAAGATGATATATATAGGAGAACTAAGAGTTCTCTAATCTGATTACACCAAGAAACGGGTTAAAATCCCGACAAAAGAGGAAGATATTACCAACCAATTAGAGTTACCAGAGGAATAACAATGGATCTTTGCTAAACTCATAAAAATTATAATTGAAATTAATAATTTCTCTTATAATTGACCACTTCCAAACCAAAATTTTTATACTCCATAATGTATTATCAATATTTCATCTGTCGTTCCGAAAACAAATAGTGTTCTTCAATAATCAAATAGACCACGAAGTTGCAAGCCATATAACTCTCAATTTGCCTTTCCTAGTCTTCTTTCCTTTACAAAATAAGTACCAGTCCATAAAATTCGAAAAACACTCATCCGCTATTTCTATCGTTTTGCCAACTCAACTAGCTATTTCCTTCCAAATGATTTTCACCACTTTGCAAAGAAAAAAAGAATGATTCATATTCTCTACTTTTATACTACAAAAAATATAATTTAAAAAATTCAAAAAAAATACAATACCTCTTTTCTTCAAAAGACCCTTTGTTGAAAGTCTATTAACAAATAATCTCCATCCAAAAGTCTTAATCTTATAAGGCACCTCAATTTTTCAAACCTTACTCAATGCTTCATCATACCTATTACTCGGTCCAAAAGGAATTCGGAAGTAAGCATAATAGTCGTAGCAAGAAGAAACCGAATAAACATCGGTCGAGTTCGCGGACCGAAACACCTTATCATGAACGTGCTCTTCCATGTCAATGTCTCTAAGTCTCGACTTAAGGAAGGAGAGACTCATCTGATTTATCAGAGACAAAGAAATATCATTAATCCCCAAATCATCCCAACCCCAACGCCACTCTTCATCCCTCCAATCCCTCATACCGGCCATTGCCATCTTTTTCAAACACGAAACCGAGTAAATTCGAAAATTCCTCCTTCAGCTAGATTCCTCCAACCAATTAGCTTCTCAAAACGGAGTAGTAAAACTTTTCCCAATCTCAAACTTGCAATTGTCCACTATAGGATTCATAGTTGAAAGAAGACCAATTTTGATAATATCCTTCTACCAAGAGGAATGAGAGAAGAATTTTTTGTCACTAACCACCTTCAAAGAAATGTCACCATAACGAGCTTAACAAGCTTTTAACATATTATATCAAAGGTTATCGGAGTCTTGCAAAATTCTCTACCTCCACTTATTAAGAAGGGCTAAGTTAAAATATGAGATATTTTTTATGCCTAACCCTCCTTTATCAATAGGAAGACACACCTTCTTCCAATTCACCCAATGGATCTTTCTCTTTTCCTCCAAACCCCCCACAAGAAGTTACCTTGGATACTTGAAAATTCTTTAGCAATCTTCACCAGAATTTTGTAGAAGGACATGGTGAAAATAGTGAGAGAACTAAGAATAGACTTCAAAAGAGTAATCCTTCCACCAAGATTGAGAAATCTATTATTCTAACTCGATAATCGTGTGAATATTGTAGTTGGTGAATTGATTGATATATTTGTGATAATGGTGATTGATTACATTTGAAATATGAATGAATGAGCTATATTTTATATGAGAACATGTATGATGATTTATGTTTATGCTAAATGCATGATTATGTGAAGTGTGGTGAATTCTATCGTACGTATGTTTTACATTACTTATGATTATATATTTTATAATGATATAAATTCTCACCTTTCTATTGGAATAATATATTATACGACATCGCTCAGGTACCGGAGATAGCGGCACTTCTTGTCAGGATTAAAGGAGGAATTAGATCCTTATTTATCTACTTATTCTTAGATAGTGAGTTATTGCTTTGGTCTATGTAACACGGGGGACATTCGAACTCATATTTGATTTGTTTTGAGAGATATTTATTATTACTCTTTTTTATTAGGATATGTATGAGATTATGTGATATTTGGCTTCAGTTCCCATTACTTATGATATGATTGTCAGTATGGAATTTCAATCATTTATATCTTTATTTTGAGATAATTACTCCGCTGATAAATGTATATTTTGTATTGGTGTATGAAATATGAATTTGAATACGTGTTATGATCATGACCAGTATGCATGTTTGAATTTTCTTTATCATTTTGTGAAGTCAATTGTGAAGACCTCTTTGAGATGTATGATAATTTGTTCTTATTATACTATTTATGTTTACGTGGGGTTAGAGAGTGTTACACAACCTATCAAAATTAAGGTACAAAAGAAAGCCAACACCAACCAAGCAAAGTTAACAAGCTCATAAGAATCTAGTCAGAGAGACACACCAATTCGACCAAAGAAAATGTTTACCCGGTTTACAAGACAAAATAAAACCACTCCCAAGAAAAAATCTTCAACATACCAAAGCCATCTAAACTAGAAAGAACTCCTCCGTCGAATAAAATGACGTTCCTACATGACTAAATTGAGAACAAAGAGATAAAACAAAAATCCAACCCGACTCCAAATGAAATCTAGACCGCGTATAAACATCCAAAGAAGAAAGACGCTCAATGAGAGTCAAAGTACCAATAGGAAAATCAATATTGAGCCAATCACACATTTTAATTTACAACCCTAATGAGACTCGACAACCGCCAAAAAGATATTCGACATCATCTTCTCGCAAACAAAGAGGGCATCTCAAGTTGCAGGTATCGACTAAAATATGACGCTTAAATAAGTTGGCCCTAGAGGGAGACGATTCAACAACAATCTTCGACCAAAAATAGAAACTTACTTGTAATTTTTGAATTCCAAAGGGATCTTAAATACACCAAAACATCTTCTTCGATGAGAAACATGTTTGTACAAGGAGGAATCAAGCAATAACAATCCTTCATTGAATAATCGATGGGATGTCTCCACCAAATGAACTGATCCGGCTGTTCCAGAACCGGCTGAGTTGATAGAAAAATTTGAAGTAGATCTCCTACAACAGCAGTCGCAGGCTGATGCATTGTCTGGGCAGCAAACTGTACCCTCCAAGTCCACACTGAACTGTGCCAAAACCTGTTGTCAGTAATCCAAGAATTATCCACATTAGCCAGAGAAAAAAGATAAGGAAATAACTTGTAAAACTGCATCGAATCCAACCACTTATCCTTCCAAAAATTAAAGAATTCGCCATTGCCCAACTTGTATGCAATATAACTGACAAACCAGTTCACACTCGAGTTATCCAAACTTGAACCAATCACGCACAAATCTTTCCATCAAAGAGATACTTTAGATCCTAATCGGGCATTAACATCATCAAGCATTTTCCTCTTAATGTCAACGTACCTGCAAGAAAATAAGTTAGTCCAAAAAGAATTCTCGTCGTTCAAAATTCCCCACTTCCACTTGAAAAGAAACACAATATTGAATCTCCTTCAATGTTTAATGCACAAGCCTCCTTCTTCTTTAGGCCGACAAATGCAATTCCAACCAATCCAATTGACCTTCCTCTTCTCCTCCACTCCTCCCCATAAAAAGCCTGATGAAGCATGATTATCTCTTTAACGGTTGACTGTGGCGCCTTATAAAACGAAAAGAAATAGATCAAAGTATTCGTCAAAATAGCATTCAAAAGCACCACTCTCCCTCCTATTGACAACTTCTTATTATTCTAACTCGAAATCCTTCTCATAAACTTTGCCACAATAAGTCTCCACACCTCTTTCCATCTCAGATTCACACCCTCTGGTATACCTAGGAATAAAAAAGAAGAAACACCAATCTCACAATTAAGACAAGTGGAACCGGCTTGCAAAAAATCCGAGTTAACATTGATCCTCACAAGTCTACTTTTAGACAAATTAATCTGCAATCCTGACACTAACTCGAAACCCCTAAGAAGAGCCTTAATACTCAATAAGTTTCCCCACGAACCTTCACCTATTAACACGGCATTGTCTGCAAACTGAAGAATCTCAAAATGCACTTCATTATTCAATCGATAACCATCAAATTCTCCCAATGAAATCCCCTTCTTCATCATAGTCGTAAGGCCCTCCGCTACCAACAAAAAGAGAAAAGTAGAAAGAGGATCCCCTTGTCGAAGTCCTCTAGTAACCTCAAAATCTTCGGTCAGACTTCCATTAACTAGAATCGATAAAGAACTAGTAAAAACAAATGCTTCTATCCAACTTCTCCATTCAAATCCAAAACCCATTTTCTCGAGTAAGAATGCAAGAAATTCCACGACACATAATCATAAGCCTTTTCGAAATCAACTTTCATCAACATACAACTCTTCTTGTTTCGCTTTGCAAAATCCATCACCTTATTTAACACCAACACCCCACCTAGCATGTTTCTTCCCAGTAAAAAAGCGGATTGACAAGGATAAATAAGCTTACCAATAACCCTCTTCAATCTACTTGCTAACAATTTAGCCAAAAAAGGATACAAGCTACTATTGATAGAATCCACTTTGATATTAATCTTGATGAGTGTCAACCTTTAAAAATGATTAACTTAATATTCATAAAAGGTATTTTATTAAATTTTATCTCATCAAATTGTGTATCTCATACACATGCATATAAACATACATCTCATGAATCACATACATAAAATAATATAAAATTTAATAGTATGATTATGACCACTTAAAAAAATAAGAATTAAACAAATTATTTTATTATAATTATTTGATCCACAAAATATTTTTCTCGAATTTCTCCTTAGATGTCATTGTTTGAAGTTGTCTAATCTTCAAATTAAAAATTATATTTTTTTTGAAAAAAATAATTACAATATTCAAATACATAAATAGAATAATTAAATGACACGATAGACATGTTAGATTTAAATAAAATAAACTATGACATATTTAAAATAAATAAACTCTTATTATACTTATGGGAAGACTTGACATTTCATATAAATAACCTGTGAGATTTGATCATTAGTCTAGTCACATAATAGTTATGTGCATTATTATCTGCCTATAAAATTTAACTAAAAATACTTTATAAATAATGTTTGTCCAGTAGCAACTTGATTGGCTCATAGTTGCTCACATTCAACTCTTCAAGAAACATCTCCAAACAAAGTGTTTGACATGCAACATATGGGGCTGCAACATACTCTGCCTCACATGAAAACAAAACCATAATTCCATGGTTCTTTGAACTCTATGAGATTAGTGTTAATCCAAGCATGAACAAGTAACCAACTGTATTATTTGTATCATCTTGATCACCACTCCAATTTGGATCAGAATAACCATATAACCAGACTTTCGTTCCCGTGTTTTGTTGATTTTCCATGAGTACTTCATGGTCAATTGTTCCTATAGTGTACCTTAGGATCCTCTTTGTTACAAGTAGATGACATAGTTTTGGTTTCTCCACGAATATACTAACCAATCCCATATTATGACAAATATCAAGCATTTCATTTCAAATATACCTTAATGAATCAAGGATATGCTTGTACAAAGTGTTATCCACCATCTCATCATCTAAATCCTTTTTCAATTTGATGTTGGTATCTATATGTGTATTTGCAGGATTGCAATTGCTTGTCTTCAACTTCTTTAGACTACCTTATGCATATTTCTTTCGATGCAAGAAAACTTCGTGCCTTATGTTCACAAATTTCATTCCTAGAAAATAGGCCAAGTTTCCTAAGTCTGACATCTCAAACCCATTCTTCATGCTTGCCTTTAACTTTTCCAATTCATCTTCATTTGAACCTGTGACCAATAGATAATCACATTAAGACATGGGATGAATTGGTTTTGTTCACTTGAGCGTTTCACATGCACTCCATGTTCTGATGTGTACTTATTGAAACCTAGCTTAATCAAGAAGCTATCAATCCTTTTGTTCCATGTCCTAGGTGTTTTCTTCAATCCATACAAAGATTTTCTAAATCTGTACAACATGTTCTCTTACCTTTTCACCTAAAAACCAGGTGGTTGCTTCACATAAACTTCCTCTTTTATGGGTCCGAGGAAGGTCTACTTTATATCAAGTTGGTGCATTTTCAAACCTCTATATGATGCAATGGCTAAAACCAGTCTTATAGTTTTAAGTCTAGAAATTGGTGCATAGATTTCATTAAAATCAATTCCATACTGTAACGCGGTGGGAGAACTAACTTGGTCGTTTTGCGTTTGATCGCAAATGTTATGGTTTAGCAAGAGTCGCCGCCGACTTTTCTTTTATCTAAAAGGAAAGGCTGAAAAGAACATGAAAGACCTTTGAGATGTTTTCTTGAGTTCGGGGGGTAGATTATGAAAAAAGGAAGGCATTAGCATCCTTTTCATCCATGATTTTCCATGGGCTCTTAGTTACTTGCTAGATCACTTGCTTTTGTTTCAAATTATGCTTTGTGTGGTTTTTGAAAGTATTTTGAAAAAGCGCCATCGTTTAGGCAAACTTTGTAATAATTCTCGTTCGTAAGAATGTATACAAAGTGTTGATCGTTTGAAAATATTTTCAAGTTTGAAAGATGTTTTGAAAGTGTTGGTGTTTGTTTTGGAAAATAGCAAGGATGTTTAGTTTGAAATTGAGCAAGCAACTAGAAACAATCTTCCTACTCAAAAGTCTTTCATGTTTATTTCCTCTTTCCTTTGACATTGTTATCTTACCATTGATTTGGTAAGTAACCCTATCTTTGGATGTAAAAGGGATGAGCGAGGGTCATCGTATAACCATGATTAACAATGTTGTAAGATATCTTAGCATTTTCTTTAGGGACTAAGATCATTTTTGAAAGGCAACTTTGATAGCGTCATCGAGGGACTATGATCTTATATTTTATTTGTTTTTGCTAAGGTACCTCACATGCATAATATGACCATTTTATAAGGCAACAAAGTGAGTTTACCCTAAGGATGTAAGTGTGTAAGTGTATTGATTTACATGCTTGATTTGTCTTGATTAGGGTTTTCTATTTGTTGATTTTAATCTTTCCATACAAACCCTAATTACTAGCATTTGTATATAAAACGATAAATTGTGAAAATTAAAATTACTACGCTATTACATCATTAGGGGAGGGGTGTACAAATTTACAAATGGGGAGTTCCAAGAAATTAAAACCCTGATTATCTATTACAACCATACTGAATTTGAATAAATGTACAAAAATGAATAAATATAAATGCAAGAATGTAAATGCAAAAGGAAATGTGATTTTTGCTTGATTTTCATGAAAAGGGTTTTTTGACCTAGTTAACTAAAATAAAATAATTAACTAAAATAAGAAAACTAAGATTAAGTTAGTAAAATAAATTAATTTAAAGAAAACAAGTTTTTTAGGGTTTTTGTGAATTTAATTAGTAAATAAAATTAATCAAATAAAAGTCCTAAGTTCTAAATTGATTTTATTCACAAGAAAATAATATAATAGTTAAACCCCAGTCTAAATATTTATTGAATAAAAAAAGAAATTAATTTATTAAATGAAAAATATTTTTGTTCTTTTAGTTTTTATGAAGGAAATAAACTAAATAAATATAAATAATAAAATATAAATATTTTTGGATTTTTTATTGATGAAAATAATAATAATAATAAAAATAATAAAGAAAATAAAATATAAAGAAAAGTCAGGGAGGTTAAAGTTGAATTTTGGAGGTTTGTTAGAAAAAAGAAAGTCTTGAAGTTGGCCCAAATAATATTTTTGTTTGGAAATCAGAAAATAAAAAGTTATATGGGATGCGTGATATGAGCAAACAAGGGAGTATTAGTGAGTAAAAATAACTCAGGCCCAAGGGAGAGAGCCCAAACGCGCTGGAAGGAAAAATGACAAAAGAAGGTGGAAAAAATGCAAAAGGCAGCGCACTGGATGTTGAACCCACACCCTCTTGGTTACCAGCGTGCTGCCTTAGCACTGGGGTGGCTATACATAAATTAACTTAACTGAATTGATAAATATATAATACAAAATGAGTCATGAATACACTTCATCTTCAACCTCCAGCCAAAGGACCTATAACTTCATCATTTCCGAACCATTCATGAAACTTCCAACATCAAACTTGTTAGAAAATTTCTCACGATTTTCAATATATAAACAACTTAAACTAATTCTCAGAAATGAGCATGAATTTCTAATGGTACCAAATCCTGATCTAAATATTTTC